GAATATTTCGATAAAGAACATCATTTAATATTTTAAATATTTTAAATGTTAATTATTGTAATATTTTAATATTTAATAAGAATTATTGTGATTAGACGGACAAGATTTAATATATACTTATTTATTTAATTAACTTGTAGTCTTATATAAACCTTGGACCCTAAATGATTCCTTTGCGACATCACGTACGAACCGTTATGTGTTCAGTGAATAGATAAATAAATATGGAATTAAGCCACACGACCATGCCCCACGCCCATTGTTTGATGTGTTAAGTCGATAATTTTATTCACGTCACATATGACACAAAATGTTTATTTCTTGTACATACTACAAAAAATAGTTTATCTTTCTTTCACTAACAAATTTCCATCTCGTTTTGTACCATAAAATATCCCTGTCTATCAAATCGAATGCCTTCACAAAATCATTAAAACACTAGTACAATCTTGTGTCATAAGTCTTAAATATTTTTGATCAATATTTCTCATTTAAGATATCCCACCATTTGTTCTCTGGTCACTTAGGAGTTCCAATTAAAACATCACGACATCAAACTCTCTTAATCAAATTGTTGACGTTCCGGAAATAATCTTGCTCAGCACCGGTAAAAGTGGGAAACCTCCTTAATTTCCTAGGCGTTGTTCATTACCTTTCCCTTTATAATTTTTAATTTGAACATTTGCCTCTTCCAATCTTGTGGGGAAATAATTTTATCCTAATTTTATTAAACGGTTTAGATAATAGTATAATTCCAACGTTAATTAAGATTTATTTTTTTTAAAAAATTCGGCGACACCTGCTGTTTTAACCTTTTTAAAATGATATTATATTATAATTCTCAATTTCGGCCTTAGTGGAATCTGTATCCAACTCTTCCATAAAATAAATCACAGTTATTCTCAAATCAGTTTCGATAAAGCTGTCGTCAATGTATTACAGCCTTTCCTAAAATAATATAACCAGTTAGCAGGTATTGTCAGGTACATACTTCTTTCCAAATTTGCCTATATATGACATCAATGTTCATTTTATTGACTAAATAGTTTAATATCCAAGACTCCTTCTTAAACCATTTCTAGGTTGTATGTTGTAAAAGTTAATAATAACACTTATTCTAGCCCAAATATGTCTTTATAGAGGAAAAAAAACATGATAAGTTATTAAGTTACATTGGTTTAATAATTTTTAGATTTGTTTATGGTTAAATATTTCCCGCGATTACAGTTCCTAGAAAAATAAACTTGTTCCCTTCTGTAGGAGATATGCACATTCCTGGCTTTGTTTCCTACGACGTCTTGCGTTGGAGTTCAATCCGATTCTCTACGATATATGAGTGTACATATATTTAAGTTGTTTTTGGGGTCACTGCTTGCATTATTCTTCACAGGAAAGGGCACAGATAAGATACAACTTTATGAATTCGGGGAGAAATTTATGCAGTCAATGTCCCATATCAGTCTTCGCGGCAATAAAAAATATACCAACAAAGAAGGATGAATAAACAGGATTGACAGAATAACTATATGCTGTAAGCCACAATCCATTTTTATCTATACCGAGTATAATCCTCAGGTAAAAAAATTGTCTGCTGATTTATCGGAGGCTCGATATTCGGTCAAATGTTCCGGTCGAATTCGCCACACCTGCTTCATTTTGCCCGAACGTTTTTGCCTTCCCAGGTATCCGGTAACCTGTAACTTGTGTGGCTTCCGATAATTAATCATTAGTTATTATATCCCCTTTAATTCGACTCTTACAGAAAAATCAACAGTTGTAT